GAGTCAATATAATGTGTCTGAGTGGGGTATTCCTGCTTCACTGCGGCATGGTATCTCAGTGGGCTAGCACTATAAAACCTGCTTAAGTCTGGGCTTAGTACAAGCAGCCGCACATACACACGCATGCACGTCGTCATATGAGCGAAATATTCTGAAGCACGACGTTAAACCCAATTTCACCTCACCTCACCTCTAGAAGGGTGATCGGAAAAAAAGTTCATAGGAAAAAAAGTCATGGAAAAAATGTTATGTGAAAAATAACTATTATAAAACATCCTGTTCCCCAGTTATATACTTTGTTTATACTCAGTTTTATAAATACTGTTTCACTTTCATCTTCAGTAATAAAAACATCCTGTTCTCCAGTTATTTGCAAAAACCAAATCAACAACTGTTATTAAAAACGTCCTATTCTCCAGTTATTTACACTTGTATTATACATGAATAAATACATCCCTTTTATGAGTTAGGTTCAAATGTGGTTTAGAGAAATTTATGTAGTGCTAGATGATAATATTGTTATGACTTGTTGAATAAATACATTATCAATACTGATTTCTTTCCTTACAACCTGGTAGCGATGGGTCAGTAAAAGGATTAGTAATATGTTTTGAGAAGGGCACAGGAGATAGGAGGGTGTTGTTGCTTTACTCTGTAGTGACTCTGGGTCAGCTCATTAATTAAATAGGGGTGGACAGCATGGCTCAGATAATTAGTGTATTCATTGAGTCTGTCTTGTGGGAGGTCTGTCTTTTGGGAGTGAACCCCCCATGGGTCGGATCACAGCTGGAATGATTTTACATTGGTATCTAGTCAACATATTGCTTTCGCTTCGAGATGCCGTCTCTCTTGTTGGTGAATGGTGTGTGAGTTTAGTTTAAGCTGCACAGCAATATTCCAGCTACATGGCGACGGTCTGTAAATAATCGAGTCTGGATTAGACAATCCAGTGATCAACAGCACGGTCATCGATCTACACAATTGGGATACGATGACATGTGTCAACAAATTCAGCGAGCCTGACAACCCGATCCCGTTAGTCGCCCCTTATAGGTTACTGAAGATCAATTCTAACCCGGATCTTCACGGGTCGTTTGGCGAATGGAACGTATGGAGGCCCTAACATCCGATAAAGCTAAAACGTGGGACATATCGTTTTCCCTGTCTGGCGTTTGGTATTAAGGCAATAATGTTGTCAGATTAACCCAGTGTCAGAATACTCTGTGTGAATATCATACGGTGTCGAAGTTGACTAGTACTAAAGACGCATGAAGATCCGGGTTAGCATTGGTCTTCAATAACCCATGCTTGTAGTAAGAAGCGTCAAACGGGATCGGGTTGGCAGGCTCACAGGCGTGGTTGTAGACTAACGCTTAGTCTCTGAATATATATAATTTTCATCGTAACACACAAACCCATTTAAATTGAAAATGAGTCCCAGGGAGACCAGAGATTCAGAAATTGAAGAAATCTAGACTTGCTTCATTTAGGACATTAGAATTGCTGGGAGGGCTAGGCAGTAGGGAAAATAATGTGGTTCAGGGACTGGGAGACTGACTAGCCTGGTTGCTGCATGCCATTGTATCTCAATTGCGTCGTATACACATAAAACGAAAAAAGAAACTACAGGGAAAAAAACAAGATCAACAACAACCAAACTGACAAAGTAGCACTAACTAGTGTATCCCCGTTTCCAAGGTTACGCAATATTCGTTTCCAGTGTAACAAATAAACACATAACCTTCGTTTCCAGGGTAACCGAGACATACAGCTACAAGGGCACATGTACTGAGGAAAACAGATAAGCGGACACCGCTTCATCGCAGTGTTGTTTTTACATATTCTCAGATTTTCACCCACAGTGACATACAAATTTGCAAAGACACCTGACAAAGAATACAGGAACACTTTTCGTTTCATCTGTTCCTTTATTTGTTTCTCTCGGTATATATACTTTTCAAACTGCATGCGTACTCATTTTACGGGTATTACCAAGGACCATCTTTAGTCGTTACCAAGGAAATGGCTTCGTATATACCTGTTTCCATGGTAACCAAATTAAACTACTACATGCGCTTGTCTATTTCCATAACATCCCGAACGAATAGTTACCAGCATGCTCGTTTCCAGAGTAACCAAGCAAACGGCTAGATACATGCTCATTTTATGACCATACCAACGTTTTCACTGGTTAGAGGGTTGTACGCGCCGTACTTGTCATAGTAATGATGATGATGATGATGATGATGATGTTGATGACGTCGACGATAATGATCATCATCACTAAACTTTACTCACACCGCTCTGGAATAGGGCTGTCCCTTGCTAAACATGCTTGTTAACAATACGAGTGCCAATTACACCCGTTATCACTTCATCAAGTATATATCACGACAGCCGATGTATATATCTACACGTCAATTAGGGCAAGCTCGAGAGGAGCGTAAAACTCCGACCCAGGACTACAGGTAATAAAATCAAATGGCAACATATTATACCACTGTTTAAAACATGTAAAAAACAAATGATATATAACTGCAGGAGTCTCTGTTTCCTGTGTAAAGGTCGGTGCCTGTGTGAAACTGATAGCGAGAACAGTCTACGCTGACAGAGTTATTAGTTATGAATTATGACTTTGCACAAACTACATATTGGTTGGAAGACTGTCAGATATATTGCAGCAATGGTCGTTACAAGGTCGATAGAAGGCATACAGTTACACCGACAGGGTTGCCTGACACCGATAATCCCGATACATCTCGGATTAGTGGGATGATCAGTATTCAGTAACATAGACCTCGATATAGCGCGTTAACCGAAATAATAATATTTGTTCATGGCCATATTTTCCTGAATATATTTCTTTGCGGGGGCCCGTTGTAGTGAAGACCCGGGTTTTCATGGGTACAATTAATGTGTGAAGTCCGTTTCTGGTATGAATCTGGAATCAAGAGACAATTGTAATAGCAATCCGGTGTGACGTCATATCACTCCAGAGACAGTTCATGTCTCCTCACTGTGAGGGTTAAGCATGATCTTTTTATTGATTTTGTATGGATTCAGCTACTTACGCCTGTTCAAACATAGGATTATTAAGAAATGTATTCATTCATACGCAGTGAACAGACCGATTTAACTATTTCACCTGACGCTCTCATTCGTGTTACAATTGGTTGAATGGATTCTCGCCCCTTTTCCATACCAGGATCCAAAACTTGTGAGTGTGGTTGGAGAAGTGTGGTGGGGTGGAGGTGTTGCTGGGGTGTCCGGCTCCCCGCTCACCCAAACAATAGTTCCATTTAATTCCCCACCAGTATATATCAGCATGGAAAAACAACATAATATGTGACCCAATAAATCATAATGTGATTCAAAGTAACTTAATTGTATCATTGAAACCTTAGATAACCTTCTCTTCCATTTGATATCCATTAAAATCGATCAAGCCATTTTGTTGACATTATAATTTCGCTCATATATTTATGTTATTTTCTCCAGAAAAGGAGTGTCAAACCACGTGTTGTAAAGTCTTACCACATGCTCTTCTGCTTTGTTTTTGATTAACGTAATCTTTGACATATCCTCACCTTTACATGACGTCACAAACAGCGCCATCTAGGCAGAGCACGTGACAGACACGTGTGTGCCTGTGTCGTCTGCTTCGCCATTTGTGTTCCGTATGGCGAGAAGGGGAGGTCCCCTTGTAACGTACAAAGTGTTTATTTGATGTAAATAAATCCTTGTTGTTGCTATGCATTAATGTAACGGCAGCTGCTAAATCTTCTACATCATAAACATGGGTAAAGAACTGGCTGAAAACATGACACGTTGAAGTAACAGAGCCCAGTGCAATGCGGCCATATTGTGGCCAGGCTGCCTCTGCAGCTTAAGCAAGCTTAACTACCATTTTTTCAATCAAAGCTAAAATGAGCCATGAGTAAGTTTAAATAGAAAAGATGAAACTATTTTACCTTGATATCCAACATCGACTCCGTAGCATCCTAAACATGTCATAATTGGGTTCATATCTAGCGTGGAGTTCAATTGTCTCTTATACATTTGTAAAAACCCATTATCCAAAGTAAATTTACATTTACTCCTGCAGCAGATATATTACAACTTGCGTGCATTGAAATGTGGCTGATAATAATGATGATGATTGATTATTATTATTATTATTATTATTGGATGTAGTTGTAGTATAAGCGTTTGTGGTGGTGTTACTACTAGTAGAAATTTTATGTTCCTGCTATGATTGTTATCATCATTATCATCACCACCACCACCATCATCATCATCATCATCATCATCATCATCATCATCATCATTGTAATCAACTACATTTTAAAACCGCCGTCATATAACTGGAATATTGCTGAGTGTGGCGTTAAACAACAAATCAACCAACAACATTTTAAAACCTTGTATGCAAAATGAAACCATCTAGACAAGGTAATTCAATTCACTAAATGTCGAAAGAAATTAACACTCAAGTCCCTCCATATCCAGTGCCTAACTAAACGGGGTTATAGTATTATGCAGTGTCGTAAACGTGTAGGTTCATTTGTTCCGAAGGGGCATAACCCAAAACAGTCGGAAGGAAGGGAGGTTCACCACCAACACGTGCCGCACAGGACCGAGGGGAGTGGCACGTGAACGCATTGTCGCGGATGGATACACCCTCTAGGCGGTTTATTTTCTCGGGATAGGCGACAACTGAAGGAGAAAAGGAAGACCTTGTTTATTAATACACCTTTGTTTCTCGCTTGTCAAATGTCAGGCTGAATATATACAATTAGGTTAAACCACGGCAATGAGTTCCGATACCGAACTATTTCTTTTACTTGTAACAAGCAACGTCTTTGATGGTTTTTCGCCGCGGGACTGATTGAGTTAGGACGACGCGGGCATTACACTGTGGAGTCATCTTGATTTATCATGCAGGAAAAAAAGTGTTTATTGTAATTAGGAGGCGCAGTAAATCTCATGTCTTTATTCGGCGTATGCTGCATTCTGGGGGTAATAAAAGGAACATTCTTTCGTAGATAATGATTCTGAACATAAACTTATCAGTACGACCGGTCGTACACTCGCAGGCTTGGAGGTGTATCGCAATGTTCTGCATCTCTTTGATAGGAAGCCAGGGCGCACGGACTAGACCTATTAGCTCGACCTCCTGTCGAACAGCCATCCAATTATCATTCTGACTTGGGGGTACATATCACTAGCCCCATGGCCTCTTGGCATTCGACGCACCCCACTGTCCACCGGCGGGATTTATAACTCGGATGAAATGAAGACGGCCGATCACGACTGGCCACCCACAGGCATACGATCTCGGGGGCTGCAAAACAGGAATACATGTTTAGACAAGTTTGTAAGCGAATAGGAACACAAGGTTGGGGAATGGGGTATTGGGGTTCTGCAGGGGGTGTGACTTCGCACCCCTACATTCTTTTCTGGATCAGCTATAGTATACACTCTTTTTCAGCGAATCTGTTATGATGTAACATTTAGTATTTGAATGAAATATTTTAGCTTGAAGTTAGAAACAAATATTTTTGGTAAATGATAACAATGTTTATAAAGAGGTTCTATATTTATAGTTCAAGTTAAGAGGTCTCAACTTCCCAAACCATTATAGACTTAAATATGATATTAAAATCTCTCTTTCCCCCCCACCCCACCCCACCCCGATTAATTGTGTTTTTCAATATCTTTACCACTTGTGCAATGTAGATAAAGTAACCACCATCATGGCGTATTTAGGTCACGTGGTACTTTAGGTCACTCAGCCCATCTGTACAGATCAATGGAGTCCTTTAACGCTTCGCCGTATAATAGAGGATCATCCTGGTCCCAGCTGAAGTCCATTTATGGTGTCCCCTGCCGTGATATTGCTGGAAAATTGCTAAACACGGCGTAAAACCATACTCAGTCAGTCAGTCTAATCCCAGCTCATTTTATTTATACCAGCTTACTTAACCTTTATACAAACAACAAAAGGGAATGTCCGTCATTAAAGTACTATTTTCAAGTTTAAGTCCTTCCTAGGTACATTTTCCTATTGGAAAATAATGAGTTTTTGAAAATAAATATTTATACCAATAATAATGGTGATTATGATGATGTGACATTGGCTATAGCAGAAATCGAAATAACCGAGATGTGTTCTATAGCAAAGCCAAACCACTGTCGTGTATAGTTCTTCCTATTCAGCAACACCTTAACCGTAGGTAGTAATTATGCTAACAACTCGTTATTTTCCATTCTCGGGTCAATGTCCTCAAATACCTCGCACCTGATCATGTTCTGTTGATGCTGGCAATAGCATCCCGATCTGTTCCAGCTACAGCCTAACAATACCTGCAAGTCCCAAGGGACCCTAGACGAACGCCCAGTCCCTAAAAATATAGAGACAAGCAGAGCCTTAGTGTTCGCAGAATCTGTGCATAAATGTAGACATGATTCATTCATAGCATCACAGGGATTTCGGAAAGATGAAATGATATGGTACAGAGACTGTGAGACACACAACCTCTAATCCGTCAGATCCTGTTCTTCCCCCCCAACAGTGACAGAGCCCGTCTCCCTCTCCCATGACTCTAGACCTCACAGGTAGGGGTCAGGGTCAGCCCCTCGCCGCTGTCCCTGACAATTATCTATCGGAGGAGACCAACCCAAGCATAATAGATAGGGAATAGGTAGTCGTGTTGGAGAATTGACTTACACACGTGTATGATATCAACGGAAGACCGTCGATCTCTGGTAACAAAATTGGTCATGTATTTTGTTGTTGCTGTCAGAAATTATCTGAGAAAATGCAATTTAAAAGAAGTAATTATAATTCCCAGGTCAATAGATGCCAGATGTTTCTCTCTCCCCTTAAGCTTCTTTCTCTTTGTGTTTGTGTGCGGACGTGTCAATGGAGGTGTGCACTGTGTGGGTGGGCGCGTTCGTGTACGTGTGGGTGTGGGTGTGGGTGTGGGTGTGGGTGTGCGTGTGCGTGTGCGTGTGCGTGTGCGTGTGCGTGTGCATGTGCGTGTGTCCATTAAAACCTCAATAGATATCCTAATAATGTCGCTCTGACGTTCTCACAAACATGAACAAAACAAGACTTCCTGGAATGTGCGCATTGATATGTATTATGCTTGAAGGTCAGTGATATGGCAGTCGGACAGTGTTTGTTTAACTTCGCACTCGGCAATATTCCAGCTTAATGTCGGAGGTCTGTAAATAGTCGGGTCTGGACCAGACAATCTAGGGATCAACAGCATGAGCGGTCGGACAGTGACAATAGTAGAAACAAACCCAATTAAAACCTATTTCTTTGACAGTGGCAAAAACTAAATCGTCCACACACAGTTTCTTCTGTGGCAATCTATCGGGTCTCGCTCGTAAGAGTAACTGCCCTTTATCAAAGGGAAGCTACTCTATCCTGAACCAATGAGAAGTCACGTGTGCTTTAAGTCGGCGTGGCTTTGTCATAAGCTGGTGATAACGTTAGGGGCTTCAGAGTCAGATGTGAGTGAGTGAGTTTAGTTTTACGCCGCACTCAGCAATATTCCAGTTATATGGCGGCGGTCTGTAGTCAGATGTACACCCAGCGACTGGTGTAGACTGTAACAAATAGGACGTATTTCCACCAAATACAACATTTACATTGGGGAAAAGGACCCAAGAGACAGAGGTCTACAAGCATGGAACAAAATCTCGTGCGGCTAGGCTGGTTTGATCTGTGAATTGTTTCGAAATATATATCTCCAAATTTTGACCATACATGTGAAATGTCTCCACTACGTTCCAGTAAGACACTGATTTTCAGTTTCATAGGTTATTAGATAAGGCTACATACCTCTGAAACCCGACCTATTCCGGCTTCAGCGAGATATATATTGTCTACGTGTCCGGTTCCATGAAAAGCAAAAGCACATATATTATACTGCACACAAACTTTGAAAGACAGAATGAGTGAACTGAGTTTTACGCCGCTTTTAATAATATTCCAGCAATATACACGGGTGGGGGCACCAGGAATGGGCTTCACACATTGTACCCACGTGAAGAATAGAACCCGGGCCTTCGGCGTGACGAGCCAGCGTTTCAACCACTCGGCTACCCCACCGCCCATGAGATCAATAAAACTCGCTCAGTAGTAAGTGTTTGTAAAATATATATAGAACATTATCTATATTGTATGTAGCCATTAAGACAATGTTTCACCACACCCACCAAACACCCCACACCCACACCCGTTGTGCCATTTATAAAACCCTTTACATTAATTATACAAACGTTTTATCACGAATATTATTAATTAAACATGATTCAGTCAAGCTTATCTCAAGGATCTCATCAAGAAATACACCCCAACCAGAATTCTTCGCTCCCAGAACCAGCTTCTGTTAACAGCCCCCCCAGATCGGCTTAGCTTCATTTGGCAAGCGATCTTTCCTACATGCAGCTCAATGTCTGTGGAACTCTCTACCTGTCAACATTAAACTTTCTAATTCTTCACAAGTTTCAAATCTCGCTTGAAAACCTGCCTCCTCAAGAACACCTATTATTAACTTCCCAGAATGTATATTTGTGTGTATATTATCCTCTGATCTTATTAGACCCGTGAAGATCCGGGGTAGAATAGGTCTTCAGCAACCCATGTGCTTGCCATAAAAAGGCGACTATCTTGTCGTAAGAGGCGACTAACGGGATCGGGTGGTCAGTTTCGCTGACTTGGTTGACAAATGTCATCGGTTCCCAATTGCGCAGATCGATGCTCATGCTGTTGATCACTGGATTGTCTGGTCCAGACTCGATTATTTACAGACCGCCGCCATATAGCTGGAATATTGCTGAGTGCGGCGTAAAACTAAACTCACTCACTCACTCTGATCTTATTGTAGCTCCATGAGCAGGCATAAGGGCATGGATACAGGCGCATCATATGTTCATTACTATTATTATTTATTTATATATTATGTCTATTTCACAATCTCCTCCTAAAAGCGACATATCTGCTTGTTAATATGATTTCTATTTTAAAACGCCAAACTATTAAAAAAACACTTACCATACAGTATTTAAACACTTGCACTTTAAACTACCTGAAACTACGTCATAGACGGCTTTGGAATAAAATTTTCATTCACGAAAGTCAGATTAGACGATAAGGCCACATTAACGAAATCAATAGTTTTTCAGAATGATCAAGGTAGGATGTGATTGAATCCAGGTGTTCAAGGATAACAATGTACTACGTAAGTCTTCGTTATTAGATAGGTGTTCCAATAGGCCTTATATTACGTATGAGGGGCGTGTTCGAGCAGGAATCGATCAATACACGTGAATTTGAACCAAAGACGAAGTGGTAAGTGGTAAGATACAAGTGGTAAGACTACCCAAGCATTTGTAGATAACTTTGACAAAAAGATCCCTCCAGAAAAAAACAACTAATATTTTTATGAAAACTAAGGTGATCCTAGGTATGACATATCAGCATTTAGTAGTTATGACAAATAGAAATAGCACACTTACTTACTCTGTGTCGTTATAATTACGTCACTCTTAAGTGCCGTATACTGACTTGGTCTAATGTCCTCGTTGGCATTTATCCAGGGCACATGTTGATGATATGACGTCATACCTACGACATCTTCGACTACGACATCAATATTTATTGCATGTATATGGCGGCGGCAGCGACTACAGGAATGAACGAAGGTGAAATAATTCATATATGTCACCAGTAACGCCGGTCGCGTATATATATTTTCGGAATGAACCAAAAAATCTTCAGAATTTTTAAAAGATATTTTGAGGTTATTGTTTATTATTCATGAAAAGACTTGATGTGTCGTTCCATTTTTTTATGATTATCCTTTTTATCCTTTAATAATCTATTAACATAGTTTTTAATGTATTTTTGTGGAGACTGATAATTCTGACAAAGATAATGGAGACGAGTTTTAGCGTTTTATTCTATTATTCCCCGTACATAAACAACTAGTGACAAAATTCACAACTTTTTATCGTACTTGATGTTAATAGAAACAATTCAAGAACCTAATACTCTCAGCTTCAGGAAAGGCTTTTAACATTAGTTGATTTAAGACAGACTTATAAAACACCATTCAAGACACTTAAATTAACACTCAATTCCAGGAAAGACTTATCATTTTGATATAAGTTGATATAATAACAGACTTAGAAAACATCATTCAAGACACTTAACACTCAATTCCAGGAAAGACTTATCATTTTGATACAAGTTGATTTTAAAACAGACTCATAAGGCACTATTCAAGACACGTAACACTTCATACCAGGAAAGACTTATTACTTTGATACAGGTTAATGTTCAAATCTGACTCATAAGAGACGATTCAAGACACCTTACAGTCAACTTAGGAAAGACATAACTCTTTGATATAGGTGTACGTTAAAACCTGATTCGTAACAAAAAGAACGATTTCAGACACCTAAACTCCAAGAAAGATCTACATAGGAATTACTAGGCATCCATGTAAAAACCCTACTCAGGCATCGAAAAGCCACGGCGTCCTAATGTATGGCCAAGTTTTATAGCACTTTAAATAATCCTCTCAAAGTCTTTTTTTAAGTTTAAACAATCCGGAAGCCTTTTAAAGACAACTAAGATCAACGTATCTCGCTCATGTAAAACCTTGCATGCCACAAAGTGAAATTTTCTTGACCTTTACTTTGGAGATACACAGAAAGGCATTTTCCGGCATTTTTTCTGCTTTGTAACAGTATTAGGAATGGTTCACAGCATTTGTTTTGGATTAAAAAAATCGGGATAAAACACGATGGGTATTTGAACGTGACCGAACTAGTATTCTATATATACATACTGCCACCTACACAGAGAGTTGTGCGTCCACACAGGAACAATCGAGTAGCAGATATCAATAGAAACAGAGCTTCCATTGATACATATATATTTGTGTATGTGTGTGTGTGTGTGTGTGTGTGTTTGTTTGTGTTTGTGTGTGTGTGTGTGTAAAAATAATTCATATGTATGTATGTATGATAAATAGATAGATAGATAGATCGATTTATTTCCTAAAAAATATGAAGATTATTACATGTTACAACAATATGTCAAGTTGAATATATAATAAATCAGTAGACAGTTAATTGTTAATTATGTGTGAAATATTTATATATGTCACCTGTACACACATACACACACACATACACACACACACACATACACACACATACATACATACATACATACATACATACATACATACATACATACATACATACATACATACATACATACATACATACATACATACATACATACATACATACATACATACATACATACACACACACATACATACATACATACATACATACATACATATACACACACACACACATACATATATACATACACACACATACACACATACATACATACACATACATACATACATACATACACACATACATACACATACATACATACATACATACATATACACACATACATACACACACACACACACATACATACATACATACATACATACATACATACACACACATACATACATACACACACATACATACATACATACATACATACATACATACATACATACATACACACACACATACATACATACATACATACATACATACATACATACATACATACATACATACATACATACATACATACATACATACATACATACATACATACGTACATATGATGTGCAATGCATTGGTTTCAGTATGATTCGATGAAAATAGCCTCTACTTTCGGCTCTCATGGTATATGTGACGTTTAAGGTTATGTGAGGTGAAATTTGATTTAAAGTCTCGCTGTGACGTTTTAACAGATAAACAACGGTTTTCAGATAAGAATGCCAAAAGAGTCATCTGTCGTTCCTAATGGATTCAATATAAAGATTATTTTGATTGCTTACAACTTTCAGCTGATTAATCCTTTTTCACATTCTCCAAATGTCGCGAATATTTCCAGTCGTCAGTTTATCTTTGAAGATTTAATTGGTGTTTCAAAGTCAAATAATTCCAAATTTTATTTAAGCGCTTGATACTCATATTCTTATCAAGCTGACCTTTAATTGCCGTGTGTGTGATCTGTTCGCCAACGATAACAACTCATATCTTATTTGAATACTCCACATGTTGTGAAAAAGCGAGATGCAATGTTTAGAAATGTTGTTTGTTTATTTGAGCTAATTGTTTGCTGAAATATAAGGAGATCTCTCGGGGCGAGTCATCATTCTTGTAGCGCTAATTGCTCCTTTTTGCTCGTGCAGTTCGTTATACGAAATAGTCTTTGCGTAATAGAGAGGTGTGGTGATACTTTGACAAATAGTGAAGAACCGTTATCTGTTTCAGAGTTTATGCATTCAACAATAACGGTAATTTATCAAATGTTATACAGAAATACGGGGCACCAAAATACACAGGTGCTGGCCTGTGAACGAACAGTTTAAAGGGAAGGTAACTGGAGGTGCTGTGACTGGGGGGTCGCGGGTTCGATCCCCGACCGCGTCATACCAAAAGCCGATAAAATATGGTACTTGTTGGTCCCTGCCTGGCGCTCGGCATTAATGGGTACAACAAGGACTGGTCGGCTCGGAGTATAATGTGTCTGAGTGGGGTATTCATGCTTCACTGCGGCATGGTATCTCAGTGGGCTAGCACTATAAAACCAGCTTCAGTCTGGGCTAGTACAAGCAGCCGCACATACACATACACACGCATGCACGTCGTCATATGAGCGAAATATTCTCAAGCACGACGTAAAACCCAATTTCACCTCACCTACCTTATAATTAATGAACCCCATAAAGCGCGTTTGTGGACTGGGAGACATCAGTGAGTAATTCCGGAT